TTTTTTAATTTTATTTTTTATTTTAAAATAATTTTAAAACTCCAACTTGAAACTATCCCCAACTTGAATAGGTAGTTTGTTTTTATTATTAATATTTTCATTTTTTTTTATTGTAGCTAATGTAATTTTTCTTATTTTTCGCTTTTTAATTTAAAATAACTTTAAAACTCCAACTTGAAACTAATCCCTAATTTGAATGAGTAGTTATTATTTTTTATATTTTGTTTTTTTAATATAGCTAATAATAAGATATTTATATTTATTAATTCAGATAGAGTAACCAATTAATTCAAAATTTAAAAAGGTTTTTCTAGTTAAAAGGTAGTTTATTTTGTCTTAATAATGCCACTTGTTTTTTTGTGGTTATGCCACTCGTTTTTTAATTTAAAATAACTTTAAAACTACAACTTGAAACGAAACCCTAATTTGAATGAGTAGTTATTATTTTTTTATATTTTCATTTTTTTTAATATAGCTAATTATAAGATATTTATATTTATTAATTCAAATAGAGTAACCAATTAATTCAAAATTTAAAAAGGGTTTTCTAGTTAAAAAGGTAGTTTATTTTGTCTTAATAATGCCACTTGCCTTTTTGTGGTTATGCCACTCGTTGTTTAATTTAAAATAACTTTAAAACTCCAACTTGAAACTAATCCCTAATTTGAATGATTAGTTATTGTTTTTTTATTTTTTTATTTTTTTAATATAACTAATTATAAGATATTTATATTTATTAATTCAAATAGAGTAACCAATTAATTCAAAATTTAAAAAGGTTTTTCTAGTTAAAAAGGTAGTTTATTTTGTCTTAATAATGCCACTTGCCTTTTTGTGGTTATGCCACTCGTTGTTTAATTTAAAATAACTTTAAAACTCCAACTTGAAACTAATCCCTAATTTGAATGATTAGTTATTGTTTTTTTATTTTTTTATTTTTTTAATATAACTAATTATAAGATATTTATATTTATTAATTCAAATAGAGTAACCAATTAATTCAAAATTTAAAAAGGTTTTTCTAGTTAAAAAGGTAGTTTATTTTGTCTTAATAATGTCACTTACCTTTTTGCTGTTATGCCACTTATCTCAATAATGTATCTTTGCCTCTCCTTTTATTATATATATATATATACAAAGACTACTATATTAGAAATAAACTACTCCCCAATTTAACTTTGTAATTTTTTATTTCTTTATTTCCATTTTTTATTTTAAAATAATTTTAAAATACAAAATTGAAACCACGCACCAATTTGAATTGGCAATTGCTTATTTCTTTAATTTTTTTATTTTTTAAAAATAATTTTAAAACTCCAACTTGAAACTATTCCCCAACTTGAATAGGTAGTTTATTTTTATTGTTAATATTTTCATTTTTTTTATTGTAGTTAATTTAATTTTTCTTATTTTTTATTTTTTAATTTAAAATAACTTTAAAACTCCAACTTGAAACTAATCTCTAATTTGAATGAGTAGTTATTATTTTTTATAGTTTCATTTTTTTAATATAGCTAATTTTAAGATATTTATATTTATTAATTCAAATAGAGTAACCAATTAATTCAAAATTTAAAAAAAATTCTAATTAAAAAGATAGCTTATTTTGTCTTAATAATGTCACTTGCCTTATTATGGTTATGCCACTTGTATTTGCATCTACTTTTATTATATATAGATAATTTAAATAGAGTAACCAATTAATTTAAAATTTAAAAATAAATTAATTTAAAAGATAGTTTATTTTGTCTTAATAATGTCACTTGCATTATTGTGGTTATGACACTTGTCTCGTTATATATAGATTTGTCTCTCCTTTTATTATATATAGATTATGCTTTTATATTTTTTTTCCCCTATTTCTTCACTCTCTTTTCGTCCATTTTGGACAATCTTTGTGAGCTCGGTTGCTTTGACTTGTTGATTTAAGGATTCCAGTTCAATATTAGTAAGCTGGTTGTGGCTGTCATTGTAATCCTTGTGGAAAAGTGAGAACCCCCCCCTCCCCCCTCTCTTTTAAAAGACAATTCCAAAGCTTGTTTTGTCCTTTTCAAGAAGAAAGCCTCACATTTCTTCTTCATCATCATTGGCTTTGAGGGAAAAAAACAACCAGTTTCTCATTCATGTTTTGGTTGGTGATGACTGATTAATGGACGGCTTGTCAAAAATTTTTGTGTGATCTCACAAAGCTCAATAAGATCTATGACTACTAAAGTCAATTGGGTCTTTAGATCTTGATTTGCTTTTTAGGGGTTTCTTATGTTTTTAGTGAATTGCAGTCCCTTATGGTTGACAAATTGGTGAAGTTTGTAGCAAAATTTTGAAACCCAATTGAGAAAGTTTGGTGCAAAATCTTGAATCCCAATTAAGAAAGTTTGGTTCTTATGTGAAGTTTGTAGCAAAATCTTGAATCCCAATTAAGAAAGTTTGGTTCTTATGTGAAGTTTGTAGCAAAATCTTGAATCCCAATTAAGAAAGCAGGGTTCTTTGGTGAAGTTTGGAGCAAAATCTTCAAACCCAATTAAGAAAGTTTGGTTCTTTGGTGAATTTCGTAGTAAAATCTTCAACCCCGATTGAGAAATTTGGTTCTTTTGTGAAGTTTGTAGCAAAATCTTGAATTCCAATTAAGAAAGTAGGGTTTTTTGGTGAATTTTGTAGCAAAATCTTGAATCCCAGTTTGGTTCTTTTGTGAAGTTTGTAGCAAAATCTCGAATCCCAATTGAGAAAGGAGGGTTCTTTGGTGAAGTTTGTAGCAACATCTTGAAACCCAATTGAGAAAGTAGTGATTTTTGAGAGGTATGACTGAATATTACCCTTCTTAAGTAATGACTTTTTGATGGGCTGCTGGCAGTTTTGATCATTCTTTAGTTTTAGCATTCTTGTGTATGTAAAAAAAAGGGAATTCTGTGTTATGAATTTGGAAGTTATAGCAAAATCTTGAATTCCCTATTGAGAGGTAAGGAAGTGGTACTATGTTGCCTGATGTTTGTGGGTCTAGCTTGCTTTTAGCACTGCCTGATGACGTGTTTGCAATAGTAAGTAAATCACTTATTCCAAGGGATGTATGTAATCTTGGTTTATGCTGTAGAAAACTGCATGATTTAGCTGCCTCCGATAAGATTTGGTTTTCACAATGCAATATGCTTGGGGTGGTTCCTCATAGGGACCTTGTTGAATGGCGAAAGGGACTCTGTTCCTACAAGGCGCTTTGTCGCTTTCTTGTAGGGATAACGCCTTTGCTTGGTATTTGGGTTCATCAAAATCCTGAACTCGGCAATGTTGTTTATGTTATGCCTGGTTTCATATCGGTGGTTGGTTGTCGAATCATTCCCCAAGAACTCGGTCCTTTAGGCCTTGAAGAAGGGCCTATTTTGTGGTCACCTGTATTTGAAGTTGTTTCTGATTTTGAGGGCTCCGCTGCGTTTTTCCTCCACGGTAGGGAGAAAGGAACTGATTATGTTTATCCTGGTTCACTCAAGAAGGTCGACAAGACTTGCAATGCGCTTCTGTTAGAGGTTGAGCCTCGGCAGCAGAGTGGCGGGGGTAAGTTGTTTCACAGCAAGAGCTTTATTCATCCTTCGGAGAATGAGGTTTCATGGAAGATATGCAGGTCAAGTAATGGGGTTTCTAGGTCAGAAAGGGTAACGGGACAGCATGCAACAGTAGTGCCCTTTGGCCGGCTTGCATTTGTTGATAGGAGAAAGTTGCTTGATACAGTTACTAACCAAGTTCGTCAAATGCTGCCAGATGCTAACGATGTCATATTATTTCCTCGTCTGAGAGCAGAGGAGGCTGCTTTACGAGAGGATATGGAACTCTTGTATGAAAGAAGATCGCTACTTATGCAAATGTACAATGGTGATGGTTTAACCATCTGGAAGGCTGGTTCCGAGTTGCCTTTCCATCCTACTCATATTGGATTGAGTGAGTTCAGACAGAATCTTGATCTGATAAGTGGCGGTCCTACATCACAAACTGCTGATGAGAGTCGGAGTCGGTGCACCAGGAGGAAGACGATTGCTGAATATGTTAGACACAGTCTGAAACATATACTCAAGAAGTCAGACTCAATCAACGGCAAGCTCGACCTTCTTAAAAAGAATTCCTCTGGCCACGGCAGTAAGCATGCCCAGCTTCACGAGTTCCTGCAACCAGGTGATGCAATAGGGCTAACATTACATGCTTCAACTGTGAAGTTATCCTCTTATCGTGCTTGGCCAAATATGCACGAAAGTAGATTTGCTCTCTATAAGTTGCCTATGCGGGCGTCAGAAGCGGGCAAAGAATATGCTGGTCTGTGGGGAGGAACTTTTGGTTGGCCTCCTGGGAGGCCTTCTGATGACAAGCCCGGAAAGGCATTGTTTCTTCTTTTACTGTCATATGAGGAGTCCCAAGGGCAGAAGTTACTTATCGCGACCAAGATATTAGAAGGTACACATTATGTTTTGCATCCTAATGGCTCAGCTATGTTTATAGTGAATATCGACGAGCCTTCAAATGATCCATTCCCTTGGAGTACTGATGGGGAATGCAACCCTCTAGATGTTAAGCATGCTTTTATGGGTGAAGGTATTGCTAACGGGTACGGTTTCAGATATCCTGGTTCAAAACCTGGTTCGCTCTTTGTAATCGAAGAAAAATTGCTTGCTTTTATATGGAAGGAATCGCGGGCTGTGTTGACCTTACAGAGGCTAAATTTGCAAGAGCTTTTGAGGAAAGGGGAAAGGATTCCGGCTCTACCACCAGTTTCCAATTTTGCATACCTTACCAGGTCCTATTCAAATGTTTTTGCTGGCTTCTCCAATGCCTCCAATGGTCAAGCTTAACCAAGGTATGGTTTGACATCTGTATTTATAGATTTGACGAGTTAGGCCCAAGGTTCATTTCTTCGCACAAATAAATGTGATATTGTTGCTGGTGGATTGTTAAGATAATTATAAATCTTTAAAATAGAATCAACCCTTTAGTTGAAATAAAGTAAATTGAAGTTGAACTAGATAATGCAACTCATTCCTTTTCTAGTTTTGGGACATTTGGCTTTTGACTCGGAAGAGAAACAGAAAAACCCTTTAGTTGTAGAGGGGAAACTGATAAAAGTGTTTATTTCTAATCTCTACCAACTTTTACGGACTGCTTCAGCAAGTTAACTCATGTTGTGAACTTTATTTTAGCAACTGTTTATGATCATATCTAAAAGTCTAACAACTGGCAAATCGAAGGTATTTAACAGACTTTTTCTACATGATCTTCAGATGTGCTTTCCTAGTAGTTTCTGCCGTATGTAGCAAAGAGAATAAATAAGGATCAAGCTTAATGTCAATGATCACCTGGATCTTCCAGCAAATTTTGGTTTTCTTTCCACAAAGATAAAAGACTCTGGGCTCGTATAAATATTTGATTGAATTAAGTTAACCATCATACTCTTAAAACTTTTGGGCATTTGACAAATTTGGCCGGTCGGCCGAAAATAATTACAAACCACTGGCCAAATATATAAAAAAAAATATACACTAATTATGTATAAAATATGTATATTATATATTAATATACAAAAAATTACATTTTCCAGCGGCTATACAGTGTAGATTTCCCAAAACTTTTCCAAGTCCAACTAGCTTCATCTCATACCCTTCCTCCTCAGAAGAGCGAAAATGGCCTCGTGCTTCACAAAAATTGTTCTTGTCTTTGTTGTTGCTATTCTTACTAATTCTTGGATGGCTTAAGCAGGCGATCCATATATCTTGACCGACTTCATTGTTCCTGAAGATCAGACTGGAGAGACAATAGATGGGAATTTCTTCACCTTCACTGGCATGCATGGAAGTTTTGGCAGCATTATCACAAACTTCAAAGTGACAAAAGCTAACAAGGCAGAATTTCCAGCTTTACATGGACAGAGTACTTCACTTGCTGTCTTCAGTTCCATGGTGCGAGTATCAACCCACCCTCGTGCAGCCGAGCTCTTATTTGTGGTGCAAGGAAATCTCCAGGTTGGTTTGAGGGACAGTACTAACAAGCTCTACACTCAGATTTTACAATTCCAGGGACTTGTTTGTGTTTCCAAAAGGACTATTACATTATCAATACAATTTTGATTGGAATAAATCAGCTATAGCTGTTTCTGCACTTGGTAGCAGCAAATGCTGGAACTGTTTCACTTCCTACAACTTTGTTTGCTACTGGTGTCGATGATCAGATTCTCGCGAAGTCATTCAAGACTGATCTTGCTACTGTTCAGAAGATCAAGGCTGGTCTCATCCTAGGATCTCATTGTTGCTCGGCGAATTTCTAAATAAAACTTCACCTCTGAATTCAGTACCTCATGCGCAAAAAAGATTCATATGTAATGTTTTCATTCTTTCTTTGTTGTTTGGTAATCTTATCATTATGATATTGGCTGTTCATTTTCTATTCATTTGTCTTTACAAGTTTCCTATTAGTATGCAACTTTTAGTCTGCTGTCTAAATCCAAAGTGGTTATAACAATTGACCAACTTTGTTATAATCAGTGCCCAAATAGCCACTCATTTTTTATTTTTCGTTGTGTCCAACCAAAAGGGAAAAGTAGAACAAGAGAAGAAAAATGGCATGACTGCAAAGGTAGATAAAGTAGAAACGAATCACATTTCCCTTTTGCTTCATTAATCTGAAAAATAGTTTCAGTAAGAATCATATTACAACTCAATACATAAACAACAACAATATACCCAGTATAATCTCACATTGTGGGGTTTGGGGAGGGCAAAGTATATGCAGACCTTATCCCTACCTTGTGGAGGTAGAGAGGCCGTTTCCGAAAGACCCTCGACTCAAGAAAACAATTCTAATCAGATTTGAACAGGAGAAACAACTCAATACATAAAAACAAAAAGAATTCATAAAATAAGAAAAACAGTACAACAATACTCAAATTTCAAATGCCAAAGAATCATTAAAGGAAGAGTTTCCTCTTGACCCACCCCCTCAAGAAAATAAAATACACAAAACAACACACAATAAATCATTTGTAGATCCATGTCTCTCACAGTTGAGGTGGAGGGTTCAGACCCCATCAGTAGCGTATCATTTCTGTTCCCCTTCCAAAAAATACTTCTGCTAATTGATCCCTAAAATAAAATGAATGGCTTCTTGTTGTTGTTGTTCACAGCCCTACATGATTTTCTAACCTCTCCTTGTGTTCCAGTGAGTACTTCAACTCTTCCCAATTTCACCATAGCCTCTCCAAACTTAGTGTAAAAATCAGGCCCTTGGACTATATCATCCACAGTTTTATTTGTCAATGGATCTAATGCTATTTGCTGGTCAATTTCAAGAACCCCATTTCCCCATTTAATTTGTTGATAAAATGAGTTATCAACAACTGATGGAGTGCCCATATCAAGAGGAACAGAATTATCAAAATTTGAACTTCTAGGACACTTCATTCTTAACGAGAATAACATCAATTTGTTCATGGCTGGATCAGGACCACCTGTTTTCTTGTAGTTGTATAGCCTATCTTGGAAGTTTGAGCAGTGAGCAGTTCCAACAGTGTGGCCACCTGGGATTAAAAATCATACTTTAATTATTAATTCTTGAAATAGAGAACATTTCAAAGCATTCAAGGGCGTGGCCTATCGGTCAATAAAATGAACGAAAAAATGTTTAGTGATTTCTTCTCATCTAGCTAAGCGTACCGCATTAGTTGGTAAGTGGCAAGTATCTGATGAAATAGTTGAGGTGTACGCAAACTGGCTCGGATACATATTATAAGAAAATGCGGAAAAAATGAAGGATTGGAAAACAAAGAACGTTCAGAAGGGTGTGGACCAACAACCAGTAAAGTAGGATGTAAATCATGAGAGACTGTGATTCATCTCCGTAAAACCAAATAATGTTAGGTAATTTTTTTTCCATCTATCTAAGAACAGGTGGGTATGGGTAGAGTTACTGATACCCACGTTGATGGAAGGTAACAAGTATGTGGTGAAATAGTGGAGATATGACAAACTCATCCAAATATTATTGCTATATACAGAGGCGGAACTATGTTATACCAAAAGGGGTCGCCGGCAGCCGTAAAGTTCGACAAAAATTCCATATATATATTTTTAGAAAATAGTGATATATTAGCAGTGGTACCCTATATACAAAGCAGATTTTGGTTGAATTCAAAAGTGCACCCGCGACTTTCAAATCACGGGTCCACCTCTAACTACATATATAAAATAAATTATTTAAAAATAAAAAAAAAACGTTCAGAAAGAAAAAATTGGAAGTTACCTAGAAGATAAACCATATCTGGTGCATTAAGCCCTTTGCTGGCAAAAACTTTGATGGAATCAGAGACTGAAATGGATGGACCAGGAAGATTGACATTTGATGCAAGGGAAACACTCCCATCCCTTCTTCCTGTTTCTACATTGTACCATTTTCCTCCACTCTGTTACATTTTTATAATCAAAATTGGTATTAGGATGTGCATGTCACAACAACAACTACAACAACAGACCCAATGAAGTCTCATAAGTAGCGTCGTCGGAGGGTAGTGTGTACGTAGACATTACCCTACTTGGGAAGGTAGAAAGGTTGTTTCCGATAGACCATCGGCTCAAGAAAGATGGAAAAAAAAAATCGAAACAAGCAATATCAACAACAAGTGCCAGAAAAATAGTAATAACAAATTAAGAGCCAGAAAATAGATGGAAGGAAGCAGTAGCGACAAGCATTGACCACAGCAAGATACTAAGAAATCGACGCGAAGGTAATAGGAAAACAATATATAAAACTAGCAATCTAAGAACAAGAAAAACTACCGGACTAACCCTAATACCACCGGGAGGGGGTGCATCTCACAAGGGGGGGAAATTCCAATTTAGTTATTTTATTTTTCAAATTACATATTATATTTGTTTTTATAAACAGTTACACTGTTAGTGCACAGAACTTTAAAACGTTAATCTTTCAACTCATTAAGTATCTTGAACACTTGTAACAGCATCCGTGGACAACTCAGTAAAGTAAACCGCTCTTGAGAGGGGAAACAACAGCTGAAAACGACTGCTAATACATAAGTTAAGGAGCAACAACCGGTCAAGTCAATTTTATATAAATGATAAAATGATTCGACTGGACGCTCCTCGAAAATAGAAAATCTCAAATAATGGAAATGATAATGAAGAAGTGATTATTAAAAGTGATGAAATAGAATGTAATTTACCAAGAGAACAGCATCTCTAGTTGCCAAAGAAATAATGTCAGCACAAGAAACCTCTGCGCCTTGGCATTCTGTCTCTAAAGCTTGTTTTATAGCATCAATGAGTTCATATCCTCTAACACTTTTATTTGCTCCTGCTTTTTTCTCACTGTTGTCTCCATCCAATAGAATTGATGCATCACAACCCTATATTCATATCAAGTACATAACATTAGCCCATTAAAAAGGTTCCACAAATATTAATTTCACGAAGAGAAAAAGATTACGTACATCTTTATTACTACCGGTTGTCTTTTTAGCTTTGGTTATCCTATTATCGTGTCGTTGTTATTGCTTCTTTTTACATGGCTTCTTCATTGATGTATATCTTATCAATTATGTTGTGACTATGCTTTTTCTTAGTAGAGGGTTTCTCGAAAATAGTCACTCTACCTTTACAAGGTAGGGGTAAGGTCGGTGTACATGTTACCCTCCCCAGACTCTAATTGCGAGATGACACTGAGATTGTTATTGTTGTTATTTTTGTTGAAGGAAAAAAAATATTCCTTTTTTGTTAGCTTTAGCTACATATATATAGTTGCAATGTTTTTTAGAAATCTTTTAATTATTTTAAAGCACATCGTCATCACATAGAAATACTCATTCTGTCTCACTTTATGTGTTACTCCTTTCTTTTTTGTCTGATTCAAAAAGAATAACATACTTTAAATTTAAAAATAATTTAAAGTTAAACTTTCGAGTTGGACCCTCAATAATATGATTTTATAGTTATGAAAGCAAGTTTAAAAAATGTTCTGTGAAAACATCCTCTTGCAGAAATACATGATAAGGCTGCGTACAATAAATCCTTGTGGTCCGGCCTTTTCTCCGACCCCGCGCATAGAGGGAGCTTAGTGCACCGGGTTACCCTTTATTTCTTAAGTTTCGTGTTTAGTCAAACACCTTCACATGAAATCAAACGAATGTCGTACGCTAAAAATACAGTCATACCTCTCTTATTCGAGTACGCTAAAAAAAAAAAAAAAAGGTGAAAGAAGAAGAAGAAGAAGAAAATGCAAAGGTAGTATTCTTACATTAACAAAGCAGTCATGGAACTGCATACGAAGAAGAGCAGCTGCAATAGTTTTATCCTTTGTAAAACGCCATGATTTTACAACCTCTCGTACAACACCTTCAACATCTTTTTGCCCACATTTTATTCCTTTGTAAAATCCAACTCGAAGTTGTCCATAGCAATGGTCAGAGAATAGTCCCAAAAATAATACAATAACTAGTGCTACTGCTTTCGACATTTTGCAAATGAATTATCTTTTCTTTTTTGTTTTCTTAAATGTGGGTGAAAGAAAACACATTTAATGTTCCTATTTATAATGTTCATTAATTAAGGATACAAAGATGCAACTTGAAATTGTATATGCTCGGCACGACCATTTCTATTAGATTAAAATAACGTGCCTTCATGTTCTTGAAAAAAATGATTGTTGTGGTTTAACTTAGTGTTAAGTAATATTCTAGATAATATTATCTTTTAGAACTCCAAGCTTTTATCATTTTTCTAATTTTCCATATCTCTGATTTGATTTGCTTCCTAATATTTTATGTTGATATAATATATAAACCTTTGCCATCTGTCCTCATGCACCTAAGTTCCTCTCCTCCTGCCTTTGCTGTCCAGTACTTAACATTTTTTTCCTGCAAATGAAATAAAATATCTGATAATGGCTTGCAAGTCATTGAAATATTAAGGATCACGTGGTCTCAATTTAATTGTATCAGTGAAAAATAGACTCGCCATGTAGGTCGATTAAATGATGACATGTGTCGGCGAAGTGAATAATGACGTGTAAAAATAATATGTGAAACACTCTCGGAGTTGAACAAATTCATACCATGCATATTAGTCTCAGAACTAAACATAAGAGAATAATCTTGGGAATGATGGAAAGGGTCATTAATAGGCGTGAATAAGGAAAGAATCAATTGATTCCGGATTATACGGGATTTGCCATTATTTTTTCATCCATTACAAATCAATTATGTAAACCACAACTAATAAATGACAGTAACGGGCATAGCTAGACAACACGAACAGTTAC